TCTCTATCTGACCTGCAAATTCTCACCATATCCCATTTTCTCTGGCTCTGCCCTTTAATGGTGTCTATCTCTTGTCTCCTTGATGTGACCTCCTCCAGTTGCAAACCTTCCCCTCTTCTCACCTCTTTGCAAAAATTACAGTCAGCATCCCTCTATCATTCCCCATCAGTTGTGGTAATTTGACCTTGAGCTGAAGACAAGTACTTTGAGTATATAAAACTGAACTGAGCCTAAGCATTCCTGGAGATTGCATAGCTCTTGGGTTGATTTCAGTCCGTTAGATCTAGAGGCAGAGGGGAAAGTTCTTGAACCATCTCATACCTTCACTGAGGTGTGTAGCCTGTTTTCATGACTCTGTGAGCATAGAACCAGTGTGTAGTTTATGGACCAGCATCCCCAGTGCCACCTGGGAACTTGTTAGATATACAGAATCTTGGGCTGTATGGCAGAGTTACTGAATCAGAATCTGCATTTTAACAAGACCATTGGGTGACTCACAAACATTAAAATCTGAAAGCCTGAAGCACTAGTATAGAACAGTGTTTTTCACATTTTGGGACATATTAGAATCGTATGGAAATTCAAAGAAATCTGATTCCCAGGTTGCATCCTAGGGCAATTAAATCAGAATATCTTAGCAGGATGTGGTGGTGCACGCCTGTAATCCTAGTGCTCAGGTGGCTGAGGTAGGAAGATCACCTTGGTCTGAGCCCAGGCTGGGTTACCTAGTGAGCTCAAGCCCAACCTGGACTATACAGCAAGACCATGTCTCCACACCCCTTCCAAAAAAAGGCCAGAATATCTTGAGATAAGACACATGCATCAGTACTATTTTATTGTGGTAAAATATACAAAACATAAAGCTCACACTTGTGCAACCATCCTACCATCCAGCTCCACAACTCTTTCATTTTCCCAAACTGAAACACTATACCCGATAAACACTAGCTCCTCACTCTTACTTGTCTCCAGCTGCTGGAAGCCACATTCTATTTGCTGTCTCTGTAAATCTGATTGCTCTGTGTTCCTCATGTAAGTGAAATCCAACGGTATTTGTCCTTTTGTGACTGGCTTACTTCACCTAGCACAATATCTTCAAGATTAACACACATCGTAGCACATGTCAGAATTTTATTCCTTTTTAAGGTTGAATAATATTCCAGTGTATGTATACACTACATTTTGTTTACCCATTCATCCATCCATTGACATTTCAGTTCCTCCCACCTTTTGAATATTGTGAATAATGCTGCTATGCACATGGGTGTATGAATATCTGTTAAAGTCTCCTTTTACTTCTTTTGGGTATACTCAGAAGTGGAATTGCTAGATCATATAGTAATTCTATTTTGATATTTTGGGGGAACTGACATACTGTTTTCCACAGCAGCTGTACCATTTTACATTCCTACCAGCAATACACAAAGGTTCCAGTTTCCCTATAGCCTCACCAACATTTGTTATTTTCTGGCTTTTTGATTATAGCCATGCTAATGGGTATAAAATGATATGTCATTGTGTTTTGATTTGCATTTACTATGTAGTTAGTAATATTTCATGATTGCATTGGCCATTTGTATATCTTTAGAGTAATGTCTATTCAAATCCTTTGCCCACTTTGAATAAGGCTGTTTTGCTTTTTTATCATGTTGTAACAATTCTTTAGTGATATATTCTGGATATTAATATCTTAATGGATTTAGGATTTGCAAATATTTTCTCCCACATTGTGGGTTGTTTATTCACTGTTTTGATAGTGTCCTTGGATGCACCTGTGGTTTTTTATTATGTATCCCATTTTATCTATTTTTTCTTTCATTGCCTGAGCTTTTGGTGTCCTATCCAAGAAATCATTGTCAGGCATGAGGATTTTTTAAAGCTCCCTAAGTGATTCCAGTGTACAGCCAAGATTAAGCAGAGTTTCTCAGTTTTAATGTACATTCAAATTACCTGAAATCTTGTTGAGTGCTGATTTATTAGGTCTGGGGTGGGGCCCAAGTTGCTACATTTCTAATAGACTCCTAAATGATGCTGATGCTGCTTGGTCTATGGACCACTCTGAGTAGCTAGGGTATGGAGGAGCATGTTAATGATTTCTTCCAGCTGAATACTTAGATGATATTTACCAGATCTTCTCCTAAGCTTCTTCATTATAACTGTTTCCTGATTCACCATCAAGATAACTCATCACTTACCCCCTAGCTTTTGACTGAGCCAAGTGCCCTGGTGGGTGCATGGAGTACATCTGGCATGGCAGAGGAATGAAATGAAAAGGACATATTCTCCCTGCCCCACTCCCCCCATTCACTGGTCTACCCATGCTGAATGAATTCAGGATCCACACAAATATTGACTCATCTTTCTCCAACCTTGGCCCCTTTGAGGGTACTTACAACAATCCCCCTTGAAGGATTGTTCTGGAAAGCTGCTTTGTTCAAAATATTTAATATGCTCAGAAAGGAATATCATACAAGTTGGTCTTGAGCTTATAGAAGAAGCCAGTACGGAGGTATGGAGTGACTTTTGAAAATCTACTTCTCACAAAATCCTTTAATCCATCATAAAATTTTAGAATCAGAAAAGATCTCGTCCCAAACCTTAATCTTGGAGGAGAAGCTTGGGTCTAAAGAGTCAGAGACTTGCTCAGATCACCAAGCAAAATAACAGTGAGCCCACAAGTACTTAGTTTTTTATTCATCTACTTTAAGGTACTTATTTGGAAATGAGTAATACAGAATTGTTTTTCTTTTTTTCCCACATGACTCCTTTAATTAAAAGTTCTACTTTTCAGAGAAAAGATAAAAATCAAGAGGCTGGGTTATGGTTTTTGTCCTTCATGACCTCCCTTAAGAAATTTCTACCAGTTAGGCTCGTATTACCTTAATAGAACGCCATCCCTGGGGGCAGGGACTCAAGTTGCAGATATGATGCTGGAGAAAATTAACTAGCTTCTAGATGGCAGGCCCAATGCCACTTTCTCTTCCATGCCCATTGTAGATGTTGTAAGCTGATCACTGTTTCCAGCCACTGCCAATCAATTGGATTTGGCTCTCAAGTTAAACTCATTTGCTGTCCCTTCAATAGAGGTCATACCCTGAAAAGTCCAGTGATCTTCAGATCTGTGCTGCATTTCATCGTGTCTACACTGGTTATTAACTACTTTTTATCTTCCTACCCCACCCCAGCTACTTATTATCCAATTATGAGTTTCCTTGATCCTATCAAACTTCTGCCACATTGCAGAGCTTACAGTGATGCATTTGTCGTTAGTGATTAGACAGCCACAGAAAAGATACTGTCTCATTCTGATGCCTCTGTAATTTGGAATAACCTCAGACTGCTAGTACAACTCCCAACCTGAGCCTGCTGGACGCATTATAGGAACCTCCTTACCTGAGTGGTTCACCCAGGTAGTTTCTACCCTGCATTTGGAAGCCTATCCCTGTACCTCTCTCCAGCTTGTCCAGCAAGGCATCAGGGAGGCTTCTGCTCCTGAGAAACTCTGAAGGCAGTGGCTGGGCCCTCATCATGGTCTCTGGGCTCTTGACCTAGAGCCAGCTCATTTGCTGGCAGGAGCATCTGTCTCCATATGGGAGACAGTCTTCAGCTCTTCTTTGCACTTCCACATTAAGACATCAGCCTCTCTCAGCCTTGCTCTCGGCTGCCAGGTGCACAGACAAGACAGCAGCAAAAGTTCCATCAGAAAGAGGTTTGCTGCCTGTGGAAGGCAGGAAGGTGCCTCATAGCCTACCAGGATCGAAGCTTTAAAGAGGATGCTCAGAGCAGCCTAAGGATTTCCAAGCCCCCATGACAAGTGAGAAAGGAACTTCTGGACCTAGGTGGGATTGGATTTCTCTGGCTGTTTTAGATACAGCACTGGACCTGCACAAGATTTGGGGGACTTGCACCAGTGAACCTTCAGAATACTCCACAGGAGCTGATTCTATTCCAAGAAGTCCTGAGGGCAGTTTCAGGGTGGCACCATCTGCTGCCTTCTAAGTATTTCCCTTGCCCACAATCAGAGAGGGTGGAGTCCTTCCACCTCACTGGCCATTCTCAACTGTCTCCTGGGTGAGTGCCATGGCTCCCGTAGCCCCAGGCTGCTTGGCAACACCCTGAGTTATGTTACAGATATAATAATGAATTATACAATGCATTATACATAATTAATTTATAATAAAACACGCAAGCAATGGTTTAATTTCTCCAAGTGAATGATGTGCTACTTGCCAGACCTTGCTGGAATGTATCCCCTAACTGACTGCTTCTTGGTCCGGAGGCCATGGCCAGCTGCCCTAGGGAGGGATCTTGGCTTGGGGAACCTGCCAAATCGCAGATTCCCCCAAGGCTATCTCTGGGGTATGTTCCACAGGAGGACAACCCTTTGCCACCTCTGCTGTTGTTTTATATCTGCAGACTCTGAGTGGTCTCATCCCCGCCTGCACTGTTTGAAATGTGTTACTTTCTGCAGTTTTCCAAACTTTCTCCCATTGTATGGAAGATTGTATATATTCTATCCTGTCTTCCTTCTTTTCTCCCGCCCTCCTTCCTTCCTTCCCTTCCTTCCTTCCCTTCCTTCTTTGCTTCCTTCCTTCCTTCTTTCTTTCTACCCTTTCTTCCACATATATTGAACACCCATTATGTACCCTGTTTTTGTCTTGGTGTATACCAGTGAATAAAATAGACAAAGATCCTTGCCCAAGTGGAGTTTATGTTCTAGCAAAAGAAGACAGGCAGTAAATAAGTGTAATAAATAAGTAAATTATATTGTATGTTATACAGTGCTGGGTGCTATAGAAAAAAGGAAAGTAGAACAGGATAAAGGTAGGCTATGGTTATGGGGCCAGTTGCAGTTTTAAAGAGAGTGGTCAGGGCAGCCTGAGAATTTGCCAAGCCCCCATGACAAGGGAGAAGGGAACTTCTAGGACAAGGTGGGATTGGATTTTCCTAGCTGCTTTAGCTACAGGGTCTTCAACAACATTTATAACTTTTGGTTTCAGATGTTCAAGATGTTACTGTTTCTGCTGCTGCTGTGGTTTCTGCCTCCCACTGAGGGGTCCCAGCGGGCTGAACCCATGTTTATTGCAGTCACCAACTCGGTTCTGCCCCCTGACTATGACAGCAACCCCACTCAGCTCAACTATGGTGTGGCAGTTACTGATGTGGACCACGATGGGGACTTCGAGATCGTTGTGGCAGGGTAAGTACCTCTCAGCCCTAAGTTTGACAGATTAATCAGCTTTTTGTAACATGGTTATGTGACAAATAACTCCAAACCCAGTGACTTGTGACAATACATGGTCTTACTCATAGGTTAATGGCGCTCAGCCAAAGCTTGGCCACCTTGACCATGGCTTTGAGATGCTATGGTGTTGCTCTTTGCCACAGCAGGAAGTTGGGAAGAAGGACAGCCTGGAAGATTTTCTGATCCATACACTTTTCAGGGCTTTAAGGCCCTTTCCTGTCCCAATTTGCCTCCTTGGTTATGCAGGTATCACTTCTTTTCCAGAGGGGCTGTAGGATCTCTTTGTAAGAAGAGCTAAAGGTGATAATCATAGTAGGAGATGCTCAATGTTACCTTTGCACAGCACTTTATGTGAGACTAAGTATTAACTGCCCATTTAAAAGAAGGAAAAGTGGGAATTGGGGTTAGCCAAGCCTCCTCTAACCATTCCTTGGTACCCACTGCTTCTTTCTCTCCTGAAAAAGCAAGAAAAGAATCACCTTGGTATTTAAATAGCCTGAGTTCATGTCTAGATGTTCAACTTCCCTATTGTATGACCTCGAGACAGTTTCTTACTCTCTGAGATTCAGATATATCATATTTAAAAGGGGATAGCTTTTTTTTAAATAGTAATGACTTGTTCCAAAGTTTCTATAGGCAATCATACATGACCGAGCATTGTAAATTCTGCCAGTCACCATTGATAATTATTATTTATTAAGCACTAATCTGTGCCAGGCACTGTATATAAACTTCTTTCACATGTATCATCTTATTTCAACCTCCTGATAACACTATCATCCCCACTTAGGAAGTGGAGCTTCAGAGACAGTAAGCAGTTTGCTCTCTGTCCAATAAAATAGATGAATCAGAATTTGAACCTCAAGGGTTCCTAATTCTAGTGCTGCCAAACTGCCAAACTACACCTTACAAAGTTTACTTATCACTTCAAAAATCAGTCAATCAATAAAAACACTACAGGGGCTTGCCGACCTTATTCTGGGAAGCTTGAGCTTTTACAAGAGCACTGAATAAAGTGCTGGGCAGGGACATTATTTGTAGTACTTGCATGCAACAATAAAAAGTGTTGGCCTTGGAACTGGAAGACCTAGTATTAATTTAACCGTCTCTAACCCAATAGTTGTGGACCTTGTGCAACTCATTTAACACCACAGACTAACCTGCCTCATCTATAAAAAGGGTGTATTGAAACCTGCCATGCCTACCTCATGCGGCAGTTGTGAAGATCTGTGGTGATGATGTTTTGAAAAGATACTTTATAAAGTGCCTTTCTTCTTTCATTATTCATCTCCTCTACCTTGCCAAGAGGACAGGTACTAATTCTAGACCTTTTAGAAGGTCAAGATTAGAATGCCATCCAGCAGAACCTTCTGTGATGACATAAATGTTCTATGTTGGTGTAGTGTCCACTAGCCACATATAGCTATTAACATTTGAAGTATGGCTAGTTTGAGCAACGAACTGAATTTTTAATTTGATTTAATTTTAATTAAATAGCCACATTTAATCCACTCAATTCTATTCAAGAGTTTTAGAAGGAAAAACCAAAGAGAAGACTATGACAGGGGAAATAGGAATGGCTGTGGCGATCCTTTCCACCCACAGGGAGCTGAGCAGTGCTGTGGACAGTGCTGGCCTGTATTCCACTCTGTGACTGCCCAGGCACTCTCCAAGTCAGAGAGAAGCCCTCCTGGCCAAGTCCATGCCCTGCTTGTCTCTCAGAACCATGTGCCACCCTGCTAGAGTCTCTGGTTAGAGGACTCTGATGTACTTCTGAGATGTTCTGGTTGGCCCCACCTTCTGCTGGATGAGCCCAGCATCCCTTGGTAGGAGCTGGGGATGGAGAGCAGTGAGGAAGCCATCCTCTCTACTCCCAGTTACTACCAGCATGCTCTACTTTCATCTTAGATAATGGTATAATCTTGTATTTCCACAAATTAACATGGAAAAATCAAGGCCTGAGATGTGAACAGAAAGTCTCTTTATCCGCTTTTCCTCTTTCTGGGACACCTAACAGGAACCTTCAGGGCTAGCACTCAAAAAAGTCTTCCTGTCTCCAAAGTAAAGGCATCTCTGGCCTCAGCAGCTCACATGCCCCACACCAAACAGTAGCTCTGGTTCACGCAGCCCAGCGTTCCCCTCCCCAGTCACTTCAAGAGACCTTTGGTTCTCGCCTGCTCTGGTGCTCACTCTTCTCCCAGGACTCCAGAGGCAGGTGAAGAAAGGGCATGGAGAGCCCAGTGCACTCTCTAAGACACAAGAGCTGCCGGCAGCTTAGGTTTATTCTTTTTGTCATTATTCTGCCCCTGTTGATATCTCTCTCCAAGGCACCCTGAAACGGTAGTTATGGGCTGCACCACCCTCCTCACTGTCCATCTTTCAGTGGCAAGCGCCAACCTAACAAAGAAATTCTTGTCCCCAGGCTGGTTCTGACCTGGGTCTGTTCCGGAAGAAGCAGAATCATTTGGTGGCAGAATTTTCAGTGGCTCTTTGCCTTTTTCAGGTCAAAGGCAATGCTTTAGATAGATCCATTGCTGAGGTCAGTTACTGGAACCCTAACCTAAAGGTATCTTCCAGCACTGGTCTCCCTCCCACCCATCCTTTGGTGTGCAGAGGTTTGTTTGCACCTGTGTTTCCTGAGCCTGCAGCTTCTTCCTTTCCAAGCACTGGGCATGCATTCCATCTTTCTCTGCCATGAAGTCTTTTTCTCTTTCTCTTCCAAGGAACTCAAGAAATTTGCTTTTGTGTCCTCTGTGGTACAGAAGCTAGACCATTATTTATATCAGCTTAGAATGATATCTAAACCTTGACTAGCTTGTTGCTTACTGTTGGTCCTGTAGGATATTGGAGTTGACCTCTGGAAACCAGTCTAACCATCCAGGGTCTTGATCCTGGATCAGCCATTCAAAAAGACCCATGTCTCTTCTCCCAGGGAAGGATTGCATCAGGCAGCCTCTGTCTGAGAAAGCTTGGGATACTGTGTGCTATTTTGAAAGATGTATTTGTTGCTCACCCCCAACAAAGGATGAGATATACAGAGGACAGTATGGCGAAATTGGGCAGCCTCCCAGCTCCAGGTCAGGGTTTCTTTGTGGCTGTTGTAAAGCATTGTGAATTCACAGAGCATCAGAAAGACACGTTCTAATTTAAGTACCAAAATACATTCCAAAGGCAAATATAACTTTTTATTATCTTCAGCTTAGGATGATTTGTCACTGTCTTCTCCTTTGGGCCAGATAACCAAGAGTTGACATATTTAAATCAGGACCTTGGGAGGTCATTTGGTCCACCTCTTGCCTTCCAATAAGGCCACACCTATAGCTCTTGGAAGCTCCATTTACTACTGAGAGCCAGGCCAGGGAATGTGTGTGATCATTTTGCAACCCATAGCAATGGTTTGTTATGTCAAGCCAATTTGACTAATCCAAATCCTTTATATTAGAGTTTAATCAGCCATTTCTTCTAGCTTTTGCTTTGCTATTGCCTTTGTAGCAATAGCATGTGGTCACCATCCTTTCAAATAATGACAGCTAGGATCACTGCCCTGCCTTTCATCCCACATGGACTTCTGTCAACAGTTCTGATTTCGACTCGCAGTCTGTTTCATCCACCCTACATCCATATTTAACTGTGTTTCTTTCTCTGTTTGATTTGTAGAGTCTCTGTTTAAGAATCATGTAGCAGGAATTGAAATTTTTAAAAATTGAATTTGAATGCCTTTACCCAGGGCACCTGCGGTCCTGCTCTGGACAGGCCTGCTCTCTATTATCTTATAGATCTTCCCATTACCTGGCCCCTGAAGGCATTTACTTTTGCTACCCCTGGGATAATGGTCAGCTCTTCAGTTTATAAGGCTTCCAGTACTTGAACTCGCCTTGAATTTGTTGACCTTGTAGTGTGTCTGACTCCAGTCCTGTTGCTTTGAGTATTTACTCTTTGAATAGGTTTGTTTTGTTTTGCTTTTTTGGTATCCTTGTTCTGGATATTGACGGCATTGATTTTGAGCATGTTGCGGGTGGGTTCGTGTTGTGTTTTGGATTCTTGAGTTAATTGTGATGGAAGGCGTGTGCGTGCCTCTGACTCAGGGAGGAGCAGAAAATGACCGCCCTTTGTTCTGCAGGGATGGGGGAGGGAACCGGCCAGCTCATGGCTCCTCTGCCACAGCTGGGTGAGTGCCTCCGCATATGGAGGGCTTATCTGTTAACCGGCAGGTGCATGATTGCGTTCTGCGAGCACCGCGGCCTCCCTGCAGGGTGAGAGGAGGATTTGATCACCCTCAGAAACGGCTGTGCACGCACAGACCATTGAGGACCTTCAGGACTGGTTCCCTGGGTAAATGGAAAGCCCAGTGGCTTCCCCTTTTCTCAGTGCAACTAAACACTCAATCTACAGTCTCAGAGAGTCTGGAAAGGAATGCCTGTTGGTGACAATCCTGTACAATTCCTTTAGAGCCGCTTTTGTTTCCTGGGATATCCCCGGAGGTCTGAGATAACCCCCCTGCCCTCTCAGTTTCCAACAGGAGTTTGCTCAAATGGAGAGATTGTAGTGGTTGTAAAGTTTAAGTAATGGTTTAGATCAGTTTTTCTACACAAAGAGCATTCATCTGATAAAACAACGCATTCTTCACACTTGGGAGGGTTTCATTTAAAGAGATGCTACCTATTGTAAAGTAGTGTTTTATTTTTTTCTTATTTTTGCAACTATGTCAGGAAACTTTTTTAATTTACCAAAGTTAATTGAATTATTTAAAAGGCAAACTGCATTCAGTTACCAGATTAATCATGATCATATAGGAGATATATTTGCCATTGAATATAATAAAAGCAATGATAAAGAATGGGACATTTATCTATGATTTCATCAAAGCAGCAGCATTTATGCTTATTATAAATATAGATAGATACATGCAGTATACACACATATATAACATATATGGATAGGTAGACAAGTGTGATATGTATAATGTAATACTATATGTATTAAATGTATATTCCTACACACATATACACATGCTTTTAACAAAATGGGAGTAAATATTTTTTAATAATTTTTCATTTATATTTCAGTCCTATTGCTTTGTAAACTATAACATTTTAATAGATTTGATCATCACTTTTGATCGCATCCTAGAATATTACCTTCATTTGGTTTCCCTTTCTTTTTAAACTTAAAATATATTTTACCTTTTGTTACACTTAAATATGTTTTGCCGCAAAAGAAAAGATTACACAATGTAGCTGAAGGTAAAAGTCCACCTTTTCCAACTCCCAAAACCAATCCCCTCTCAATAACAACTGTTTCCAGTTTGGTATTTATGCTTCCAGAAATCTCTGTGTTATAGACAGATAGGTAGGTAAGCAGACAGAGAGATATATAGAAAGATTCTGTTACATAAATTTCTATGATCTATATATACAGGACATATAATTTTGGAGGACTCACACTGATATATATATTATTCTACTTGTTTTTCACTGTATAATATGCTCAAATGTGTAGATCTGGCTTTTTAAAAGAGCTGCTTAGTGTGGATGTACCATGTGCATTTTGCCATTCTTCAAGTGACACTTAAGCTGATTCAAATCTGTGACCACTGCAAATATTGCAATACTGCATGCACATCCTCACACATATGAAGTTTCCTCTAGAATAGATGCCAAGAAGTGGAAATATTGGATCAAGGGTATATATATGTTTTCAATCTTAATAGGTATCTCCAGATTTCTTCCAGTTTCAATCTTTTTCTATTTATTCATAGGCTAAAAATATAAGGAAAGCTTAGGATTATTCAGTTCAACAGCTATTTGAGCACCTACTATGTATACAGCCACATGTGTTCCAGGGTCTTAACTTTATCAATTTAGATTTAACAGCTCTAAGGAAGAAAAAGGGAACTATTCTGTCCCTGCAAAAGAAACTGCTGCTGGTTAAAAAAAAAAACTTCAATACTTTCTAATTCAAACTGCAAAAATGACTTCTCCTAAAGCCTCCTCTGCAAAAATATATTTCTTAAATGGGTCACCCTTAACCCTGAGATTCATTGTCATCGGTATCATGGAAGAAAGATTGTAGGTACCAGTTTTTCTGCTGTGGTTCAGCATGGCCTGTCCCTGATTTTGAATACTAACAAGACACAAGTTGGAGCAGGAGGCAGGCTTTTTTAACCCATTCTTAACACGTTTCCAAAAAGGTCACTCAGCAGTGCATGGCAGGCTTACCAGAGCTGTCCAATTGCTATAAGCATATCTCTTTCTCCCCAGCCCTGGGCAGCCATAAGCAAGGGGCAGAAATGTTAC